TCATGCTCAAACATGCACAGATTCACTGTAACTTCTCTTTACTTTTAAAAAGAGCCGGTTTGGAGTGTGTAAGGTAAAAAAAATAGGGTAGGCAAGAATAAGCTTTGCTTCGACCTATTCCTTTTTTGGTAAACTGTGGGTTTGTCTATTGTTTTTTTCTCTTTTTTTCTTTTGTTGTTTCTTGTGTTTAATGTGGATAATTTACCAAAATAAAGTGATTGATTGATTGATTGATTGATTGATTGATTGATTGATTGATTGATTGATTGATGCACTAACAATGTGAGTCAGTTACTGAAAAAAATCCTGCTAATAGAGATGTCCACATTCATATCTGAACCAGCTCAGCCCAGAAAAATATAATGAGCTTTTTCTCCATGTGGGAAAAAAAAATAAAAAATAAAAAATAAAAAAACGGCCCATCTGTTCCATACGCAGAGCAGTTACTTTCCAGGTTTTTGAACTGGATTTGACATGATTTCATTCTGCCTCAGTAAAGTCATCACTTAGCTAATGAATCAATTATAATATTGGAATTGACATGCTGGTGTCCAGCTCTGCCCATAAATGCCAGAATAATCTGAATGAAGCCAACTCTGCTTCATTTTGACAGTGCTTAAAAACTGAGATGGAGAATCTCAAAGGCATTTGTGATTAAGTCCATTTGTGCTGTTTGGGTGGTGAGTGTCATAAAATATACAGGGTTTTATACAGGTTTTTTTTTTGTAATACATTTTAAAACTCAACTTTATCATCAGATTGCACTTAACCCTGTAATACCAAACGTATCATATTTGATTCATACGGTTTCTGAAATGTTTTGTGTCTGACACCTTTTGCATAATTTAATGGTAAAAACTTTGCTCTAAATCCTATTGAACACAATCAGATACACCTGATAACAGGGGGCAGAAGATACACAAAAAATAATCTGGACTTATCGCATAGTAATAAATTATTAATATTAAAAATGTATTTTTGTTTCTTATTTTTACATATTTTGTTAAAAGGCCAAATAAAGACTTCAAACCAAAACAAAAGCAACTTTCTGTTTTGTTTTATTCTTGGATCAGGCTTTAAAGGGTTAATTGAGTCAACTAAATTTCAAATTGCCCCTGAAACTTGCATTTTTGTGGCTGGGCCAATGTTAGACATCGTTAGCGCTAGCTGAAATAGCCCATTGTGCTATCGGGGAAGAAATTTCCAGATTTGCCAGCAGGAATAAAACGATTCTGTCAGACAGATGGAGTGATTCAAATTAGATAAAGGAATCCATCTTTCCATGTCTAATGCAAAAAGGAGGCACTTCCTTTTCCCTTTAAAAGATCCACTTTCTCCTTCTCTGTCCTCAAAAAATAAGATACACATAGTTTTAGCTTATGCTGCCGGGTGGGTTTAGTTTGTTTCTTTTTACGCGTTCTGATGTAGAAACCATTATAAAATTCCACACAGTGTATTGGAAAAAAAGGAATCGTAATTTTATTTGTATTCATGTACAGTATGAACTACAATCTCAGGTATCAATAATTGAACATCATCCTCAGGGAAGTTAGCTGGACCCCTTACAAGCACTGTCTTTTTTTCTTCTTTTTGTTTTGCTTTTTTCATTTTTTTAACAATTTGAGCACATGTAAAATTATGATCTGAAGTTTTTTTTTTTGTTTGCGTTATGTTTTTCAAAATATTTTTTTTTTACATTTTTTTGTATAAATTTAACCGATGATTAGTCTCTCCAAAAATGAGAGTGAATGTCCCTACATACAGTAACCCTCCCCAAACATGGACACTTGGCAGACTAACACACAATAATTTGATCACCTTGGCTAAGGGTTTTGCACAGAAATCAAGCTCAGTCTGCTGGTATTTCAAGTCCAACATTCTTCATGTCAGATTACCTTAAATTCCCATCCGGCGCTCAAATATCCCCATAAAGCAAATACCAATACACAGATATCCCATTCATTCCGAATAAGTCACAACCCCCAAATATATATATATTTATATATATATATATATTCATATAAAAAGTTTGAACCTTTTTTCACTGTAGCCAGCGTCAACATTGAATCATTAAGCCACCAAAAAGCATCGAAAAGGAATTGAGCATTGAAAGAACAAAATAGTGAAAAGGGAAAGAATGGTTTCATCCCATCGTTCATAAAGCTGCTGAGTGGGTTTCTGGCTTTTGCTGCCTCAGAATTGATGATTAAAATGTGTATTTCACCTCCATTTTGTCTGTTAAACATCTCAATATATTCGATGACATGCAAAGAATAAATTAGACTCTTTGTGAGTTTGATTTTTTGACAGTTCTGTAATCCTTCCAGCTAAAGTTTCAGAAAAAAAACGGAAAAAAGATTCAGGAAAGCTGATGAAACTGCCTGAAAGCCAAATTTGTCCAATTCTCCGTATCACGAGCTCGGTTCATTTTAAACGGCTCAAACTGAGCGTTGGTTGTCAGAATGACATGGTCTGTGGGTCAAATCCCATCAAAACCCCTCCGACAGTTCCCTCTGTGTTGGTAATCAGTCCCATTTGTGAAAAACCAGCAGTGGGATATTAAAATATGCTTGTTGCGCAGAGACCAAAGCAAAAGGCACAGCTACCTCTCACTTCTGCACAAGGTCACTGTTTCCATGGCGACGGGCTGATGGCTAGTTTTCCCTCCTTATTTCTTATCTATTTTTCTTCCTCTGTCCCCTCATATCTGAAATATCTCT